TGCTTTGCTTAGATATTTTTAACCGACTTCAAAAAAGGGGAGTTATTTGATCTCAGATAAAAGTGCATTTGGAATTTATTCAGCCAACATAGTATTTTTAACATTAAAAATGTTAAAAATGTGACAATTTGTTCTCCGTTTTTGGACATATACTTACACCATATTCGTTGAAATATTTGTAATGATCTAATTAATTAATTAATCTAGGTTTAATTTTTAGGTAAAGTAACATATTATACGAGTAGGGTTCGACGAACCCGTTCGTAGCAGAAAGTGTACCACATCTAAGTCTACGTTTTCTTTTTCTAATATAAAACACAACATATAGAATATGTATACATACATATATGTATTTCCTATATGCGAGTAAATCTTTCATAATATTACATAATATGTATTTACTTTTATCTTTTATTTTACGTGACTACATCAATTTTCTCAGTATTAAATAGCTGTGATCATGTTATGGCACTTTTTTTAACCACTTAAAAATTAAAATAAAACAAAAGCTCATAAAAAATCACTGACAAAAAAAGTCTGTGGTTCATACACTTGCTTATTTGATGCCGGTAACTTTTTGACCAACTTCAAATAAAAAGGGGTACAAACCGAAATATTTGGATTTTTGTAAGTACATTACATGAAATCTTCGTTAATCGTCGATTGATTTTCATAAATAATTGTTGATATAATTAATTACTTTTAGGTTATTTTAAAGTCCGAGTACGGTTTTTACTTACAACGAAAGTGATAAAACTTTATAATATTAAGAGTTACTTTATAACATTAGATGTTAGACGAACAGACGATGTGGATGTCACTCATGTATTTGTAAGCGCTTAATAGATAGCTCTTGCTTATTCAGTGCTGATGCTCCATTGGTATTTAAATGACATGTTTATCATTCGTGCGAACACTGTAGTGATTATAGCTACTTACATGTAAATTGTGTTTCCTTAAGTGTAATGTTTCATTACTATGTGATCGTGATATAGTAAATAGTAGATACTGTCCTACGGCTTTGTTTATGTGTTTTTGTTTTCCATTTAATAAGGAAATATAGACCAAGATGTTCAAGCAATATCTACGGCTGTGCTTCGCAAATTGGAGAGACTATAGTTTTAGTTCGTAGAATAATTTTAAAAACATAGTTCATTGAAATACTTTGTCTTAACATTACCTATTGATAAAATTTTCTAACAACCATTACAGTATACATATATAACCATATCTTTAACCATAAGATAAATAATTTAGTAATTTACATACCTAGTTTATTTTACCGCCGTCTCCCAGTCTAATAGCGCGTTTCAAAAGTATTATTGCACCGTCTTTGCCGTATGATCACGTACATTTACAAAGTAAAGCGTCTGCATCAGAAAGCAGTTTAATATTTTCGCGGAAATTCACCTCCATATGTTTCGTGCCAGCATAAATATCCAAACTAACCATTGGACAACATCGTTCATGCTATATTCATTCTTAATTTTATTATGAAAAAGGGTAAAATCGCTTGTGTATCTTTTAAATTTGTGCATAACTTGTGGTGTACAGTGTACGAATATAAGAATAGGAGTCGTGATAACCTAAAAGGTGTCACAAAGAGGTCGCGTCGAGGGCGAGGTGCAAATGTGCATCTCACGAGATGAGCCGCTTGAATGTACCCGATGTTATGCAACGCGGGAGTCTGGAAAGTTTGGAGCAGCTAGTGGAAATATCATTTATACCAAATATACTACTAATGAATATTATAAAAGCGAATTGATGTTTATTAACTTGTCGCTATTTCAAAAGCAAAAACAAGGAAAACACATCAACAAACCGGTCGGTCATGATTAATATATATTTTTTTATTTTCAATATTATAAGGAAATGTTCGGAGCTATGTTTTTGACCAAAAATTAAAAACAAGGCTTGACTTGATTTGAAATTTGAATCCAGGACTTCCGGGTCTGTAGCTGTACTTGTTAGGCACCAAACCAACGAGAAAGTTTATGTAATAATAATAATAAAAAATACTTTACAGTTTTTGGTTTTCTACCGATTGATTTTGATTTTTGGTTCCCGACGTTTCGAATTCTTTACAGCAATCATGGTCACGGGAGAGACTAATGTTTTAGACGTCTCAAAGGCCATTATATACTTATTACAGATAGCAACTAATAACAAAATTATATAAAGATTTTCAAAAATACGAAAATGACACCAAAGTACCTTACAATATCTGAAAATTTTCGTTTTAAATTTTTTTATAATTTCAATAAGTTTTATACTTGAATATTTAATAGTATTTATTTAATTTAAATTACTGTGATAATTTATATAATTATTACAATTTTAAAAAATGTTAAATAATAATCTTACTTAGTGTTGCTATCTGAAGAAAGTTTAAATATTAAGCAATATTATTATTTACAGCTGACTGATGTTTGCATATAAAGTTTTATATTACGTGTGTACATTATTTGACGACACATTTAACTCAGTTTGTAGAGACTCTACTTGCTGTGCCAGCGGTCTCGGATTCGAGTCCCACTGGGGGCATTCATTTGTGTGATACACACGAATGTTTGTACTTCAGCCGTTGGTGTTTATATTTATAATATGTTTATTGTATGTATATTAAAGTTATATATGTGTAGTGTATCAACTATCTGGTATCCACAACACAAGCCTCGTAGCGTGCTGTGTTTTAATGTCCCAATATATTTATTTATTATTAGTATTATTAACTAACACAAACATTTACACTATGCCATATCAAAGATTTCGTACATAGAGGAGTCCAAGGGGCGCTCCCGATGCTCGCGCGGCGGATCGCTACTGCATTTCCGCGATTGTCGCCGCCTGTTTCTACGTTCTTATTTACCCTATATGCTTTCTTTAATGTTTACAGGTAAAGATTTTAGTGTTTATATTTGATGAGTAGTCTGTGATTTGTAATTTTATTATTATTTCGAATTAGTACCAATTTTTTTATATCTCAACATAGTTTTTGGGATGTGTTGGGAGAAAATCTATTTTAATCTTATAAAAGGCACAGTTTGTTTGTTTGTTTGTTTGTTTGTTTGTTTGTTTGTTTGTTTGTTGGAACTCGCTAATCTAGATAGCCCGTTTAACGAGGAAGGCTATAGGCTATATATCATCATACTACTACCCAAGGGAACGGAGCATTATTCATAAGCGTCAACAAATCGGGCAGACTTCCATGCATTATTACTAACAGCATAAAGCCAAATATTTTTTTGTAGTTTTAGCCAGCGAAGCCACGGGTTCTGCTACTATGAATATAAAATAATTCAAGTGTATGTTTTTATTGAAATTTGTATGAGATCTCTCGTTATTTATTAATATTGTAAATTAGAGCGCCGTCTCCTTTCTGCAATCATTTAAAAATAATTATTAATCAATAATATATTGTTATAATAACACTGTACGAAAATAGAGACGATACGCAATCTTAAAAAAAATAGTAAGTAAAATTATTTAAAAAATATACTACTTCTGTTGCTACTATGAATATTTTACAAATAAATCTTCAACGGCGACTCATAAATAAGCAATTAGTTGAGATGTTATCGAATCGTACGAGCTTTCGCCCATCGATTTTAACCTCAAATCATATAAACATTGGCAGTAGTAAATGACTGTTTCGGGAACCCTTAGAGCGAGATCTACATGTTATGGTTGGCTGTGACGTATATTTCATATTCAGTCATAGTATAAAGCTTTCCAATTACTGTATTTTCCCGTCATAAATTTATTGTTGAGCTTTTAATGTACTATTTCTGACAAATATATCATAGCCAATTTCTATGTATTCAACCCTTTTTAACGTCCCCCTCCTGGGCACGGGTCTCCCAATATGAAGGGGATCTGGCCATAGTCCATCATGCTGGCCTAGTGCGGTTTGGCGGACTTCACATGCCAAACACTTGCGAAGTTCTCTCAGACATGCCGGTTTCCTCTCGACGTTTTCCTTCACCGTAAGACAAGTAATCATGGTACTTCATAATCAGGACCGCCAGTAGAGACAGCTGCTGCCAGTAGAGCCGCCAACTTATTGTATACCGCTGGATCACTGAAATTATACCAAATCAAATTTTATTATACAAATTAAGAAAATTGTTGAGAAATAGTCTATGTGCGACGAATAAAAAATTACAATAAAAATACGTAATAATTTAAAATGAAATATGTATACATAAAACAACCATATTTTACAATTTTCGTATCTAATTATACAATCTGGCAGCCGTGTTTATAATTCCAAAAAAAAAACCCTTAGAGAAGGAAACCATGGCATGGCTATCTTTAAATTGTGTAAAACTTTCTTTTAACGAAATATTTTACAGCAGTAAAGGACGGCCCATACATTTATGGGCATTGTCCTTCCACTTCATAAGCGTTGCTAACTAAAGCCGGTGACCATAAATCAGCAACACTTTGCGGACATTATTTATTATGCTTGCGACAGCGACCCTATTAGGTGACAACTAACTTCTCATTTTTACTTCACTATATGAGCGTTTATAATTTACGATACGATCAGACTCCCGATATATGGAGGGAACATTTTCCTGTTTTTTTTTTCATTTAGCCTTGAATGAAAGCTTCACGTGTGAAACTATGGGAATAAGCTAGCTTTTTCCCATAGCTTCATTCGCGGGCGTTTTTTTATATTGGTAAATACAGAGGGTATTCCCAGAGGGGCCCCACAACATACTGAAAATACAAGGACATTACATATATACAAAAATAATTAATTAACTATAACTGGAAAGAATAAAATTTACGAATATTATTTATTAAAAGGTTTTTATTTATTTAAAGTTAAGTTGTTTTAACTAAAGTTATTAATATATAGAATATTAAAATAAAAAATATACCCAAAATCGTTATAGATTTTTTAAATTGCGATCTAATCAAGTCGCATCGGCACGTAAAAACACGTAGCTCTTCATTCTCACCTCGTAAGCGAGCTCACAATACGTTCATTACGTGTGAGTCCACGCGGTAATTTCCCGCGCGGCCCATAAATTACTTGCAGTTTGGCCCAGCTCCCCTCCGCCCGCGCCCGCCCCGCGCCCGCCCCCGCGCCCGCCCCCGCGCCCGCCCCCGCACCCGCCCCCGCCCAGCGCCTGGACACTGAAATGTTACCAAATTATATTCATGTATTACACTTTTCTCTTTATGTTAATGGTTTCTTCGACATTTTCTTGTTCTCTTTGCGGTTCAACGAGAAATTATTATTATTACATATGCTTGTTTACTTGTTTACAACATTTAATTAGTACTCGCTAAATGTGTAAGCTTTAAGCACTTAAACTCGGTCTGAGTTAAGACTAATTTATTTTTTTAGAAAAATAAATTTCAAATGGAATAGTAAAATGTAAGTATTTTATAATATACATATACTCAACATAATGAATGAAGATAATGATATAGTATAGAAATAGATATTTAAGGTTAATTAAGTACCATTACTACGCTCTTTAAATGTATTTCTGTTTTTCCATTAATACATATTTTACTAGCGACTCACACTCGCTTCGCTCGGGTTCGACTCTAAAATACATATTCGTACTCTAAAATACGTATTCTAAAATACGTACATTATTCCGGGATAAAAGTAATTTGTGTTATTCTAATGTATGAGCTATAATATTGAAAATTTCATTAAAATTCATTCGGTAGTTTTTGCGAGAAAAAGTAACAAATATCCATAGATCTAAGTATCCAGACATTCAGACATCCATACAACCGCACAAACTTTCGCATTTATGTATAATAAATATTAATAGCATGTTTTTGTTTGCGTATTTTAGCTAAAGCTCATAAGGTTGCTAATATTTCATGACTATTAGAATTAAATTATGATAAAATATTTTAAAGCGTATAAATAAACAAAACTATCCCAGAAACGGACGCAAAATGATCGCATTAGCGGCCGCTCTCGACTCGAGGGTGTTTACCTAACTTCGCCGACATTATTGTAACAATTTGTCTTTAGGACATTACGGCCCAGACGACCTTTCGGGGTACTAGTAGTGTGTGCCTGTACGGTGCTGTACAATATGTAGAGTTCATAAATATTTTTGATGTTTAACACCTCCTGGTAAATTTTCAAGAAATTAACTAAAATTCTAAGAACTCTATTGTTAACTGACACGCCACGCCGGCGTGTCCGCGGTCGTTGAGGGATTAATCGTTTAAATTTGTTTTTTTTTTATAGATAGTCATAGAACTAAAATTATCCTTAATATTTTAAACAATATTATCTTTTGGGACTTTTTCGCGGATTTATTTTGATTTTTTTAATGCTTTATGTAGCAAAAATGGTCACCGGAGAGACTCCATGTCTCTAAAAAAATATATAAATATAATAAATCTGCTAAAATATTGAAAAAACCAGTTTTTCAATATTTTTTTATATTTAAAACTAGCGTTTTCCATCGGTTGCGCATGCGTATAATAATTATTTTCGACCGTATCTGTATGTTCAGTAGTTTTTGCATGAAAAAATAACAAATATCCATCCATCCATCCTCACAAACCTTCGCGTTAGTTACGAGTATATCAGTACGATGTCAAATATTCGCGTATACTTTGTTGATTGCCATTTAAGTGTACTCAAAGTTGAGGCGAGCCCCTCAGTTGCTAAACCTAACATACTAACCACAACTAACCTAACATCCTACGGAACTCACATCACTCTCGGGTATATAACACGCAAAAATAACTAGTTCTTACCCTACGGCTCTGCTTGCGTGAGAGGTACGTCAATAAAAATATCAAGTAGATAAGCCGTTACCACGCTAAATATTACTCAAACTCATTGAGTTGTTACAGCGTAAAAACGTAACAAACGCACTCATTCATAAACTTTCTGATATGTAAATATTATTGTGATATATTTCTTAAAACTTCAAAATGTTCAGAACTGTTTATTTTCTACCTATTACGTACTAATATATATTCCATCTATTCCATACTAACCGTTAAAACGTACCTAGGGATGAATCTGAGCGAAGCGAAGGTGAGTCGCTAGTGTTTTATAATTATTGAGGATTTTCTATTATATTTATACAATTATTAAATTTACAACAAAGCATAATAACTAAAGAGATATCATTACCATGCATAGATTTTTCTGAATGGCAGGCTACGCCATTTACAGAAAAGCTGTTGGTGAATGAAAGAATCAAGGTACAAAGCGTTTGTGCGCTGCGGCGCCGTAGAGTGCTTTATGAATTGTTTTCTATTGTACCCTCTAAGTGTACAATAAATATCGTTGCACCCTCGAGACCACAGCCGAGGTCTGATATTGACTCTACTACATGCGGTTCTATGAAACTCAAGATTGTTGAACAAATTGTTACTTACATACATACAAATTACAAAAAAGAAGTTTATTATATCGTGGTAATTGGTATGACAAATAGGCACTTAACAGAAATGTTGTTGATATTAGAGGTGGGTCATTAAATATTATGGTGGTTATAGTTTATATTACTTAATATTACTTAAGTGGAAAAACTACTTTGATAAACTTTCTTAATATTGCACGAAACTTACTTCGATCGACTTCGATCGACTTTTATTTTGAATAATACTGTAAAAATTTTGCATGTAAATAACAGTAATTCTCCATTGCTAAGCAAGTCATAATGTTTTTACTGTTTTTGTGCATAAATGGTTTAATTAATTAATAGAATTTTAATACGATTAAAGTTCAAGATACGACTTTGTCCTCTCTGTTCCAACTCGTTTAACTGTATGTGTATAGGAACCCACTTTGTGATAATTTAAGCTACTTTCTTTAGCTATTTGTTATAATAATAATAACTATTTATAGCTGACACAAAAAGAAGACAAACACAATACAATAACAGGAAAGTGTACAAGAGGTGGCTTTATCGCTAAAACAGTGATATTTCCAGGCAACCTTATTATATATTCTTTATTGCACTAAACAAGTAATAAAAATATATACAAAATGACGTCGACAAAGGTCGACTTATCTCTATAAGAGATCTCTTCCAGTCAACCCATGTATGTGGGAAATAGTGTTAAGTAGCGGGCATAATATGTAAAACAAAATAAAAAAAAATTATAACATATAAAATATATACACACTATCCATATATAATATATAAGAAAAAATACATAAATACAAATATCTATTATAAACACTAAATAAATATTAGAATGAATGAGAATGAATAAATACCAGAACTATATACATACATAATTATATAAATACACACACACACACACATATATATGTATATATATATATATATACATAAACATACTTATATTATTACAAAACAGAGAGATATATATTTTTTAATTATGAGTTAGAATATGCTACCTTTAGGTGTAGGAAATAGTAACTGTATATTATGTATTTGATCAACAGATAAACACTAATCAGTAAAAATACTTTAATAGTCTTATATGATTCTTTACATGATGACAATTTCATGTCAGATAATTTAAGGTAAAAAAAATGCACGCAACTGATTGTTTTTTGATAATTCTTTTTAAAAAATAAATATTTTTCCAATGTCATTGTAGCTGTTGAAAAATTAATTTACTTATTGACTCAATGCTTTTAGAGATTATTGAAACTTTAAAGAAAAACTTTATGCCACATAGAAATATAAAATCCCACATTATTTTTAACTAGGGATTTGCCGTTGCTTCGCTCGGGTTGCGTGTTCAACGTGTCCCTACTCTAATTCATTGTCTAAAAGAAAAGTGCTCAAGTTACTCTTTATAACATCTTCGTTGAGGGACTATTTTACCCCCTTATGAGATGAATTTTGAAAAATGCCAAAACACGTATTTAATTAATGGTATTGAAGAGTATTAATACCAAGTTTCAAGTAATTCTGATCATAAATATTTTTTTGGATTTTATTATAACGTGTTTTCGCGTGGGAAAGAGATAATCTCCCAAGAAAAAAGTAGCTTATGTCACTCTCCAGTCCTCCAATTATCTCCACACAAAAAATCACGCCAATCCACCAAGCCGTTTCGACCTGAAAGAAAGACAAACAAACAAACACACTTTAACATTTATAATATTAGTATGGATATGCTAAATAGAAGCTTTTATTTTGACATTACAAACAGACACTTCCATATTATTTATTTGTATAGAAGATCGATAAATGTTTTAAAACTATAATTACAATTATCGGTGAACTCACTACGCGGAGGCTCACAACGGTCAACTGGAGCGCCGCCAATGAACGGGAAATAATTTCTGGAACAATGGATAATCTGATTTTGTGATAAACTGTATTTTTATCAACCAAACTTAATGAAGCTTTCGATTTTAGTATAGAATGTTAATTTTAAATATTTTTTAATCAGACTTTTTTTATAAATTCAATAGCTTGACCGCTTTGGAAGTGCACAGATAAATTATGACTGAAGTTAAAGCCTAAAGGGGAAGGGAGACAGAAGTTATGTTTTTGTTTTCTATTGTTTTAAAATTTCTAAATTGTTATTTAAAAGTAATTCAGTATGTTTAATGTGTTATTATAATTTTGTAGTTTTATTGATTTATTATTTAACAAGAAAATTGGGTTAAAAATAGTATTTATAAGTAGTTTATAGGTGTTTCATTAGCAGAAAATTCTACCAAAATAAATTCTTTTATGTCTAAAGAAGTTCTGAAATAAATATACGTAAATTTTCATCTTCTCTTATTACAAACTTTTATATTAAGAAAATAAATATAAAAAATTGGTACACAAAATAACAAAACCTAGTACTACCCGACTCGTAAAAGCTCATCATTTAGGAACTGGGTGCTTAAACAAGTCTGGTTCTTTCGTAAAGATTAATTATTAAACGTTCTAGTTAAATGTAAATTATATCGTCCATCAAGAAAAGCTTTGTTAACGAAGACAGAGTGTTCGTTAGAGGGCATCTCACAAATTCGCGGCACGACGTAAATGCACCTAGAGTTAACCGTCAATTCGTTAACTGTTACAGTGCGCGGCTAAAACTTGCACGGAATCTCTGAATCCCGGGATTCCCGGGATTGCGCTGGGATCGCAACATTACTGGGCACAGCTTCCATGTGGAATCTCTACAATATCGGCATTTTGTTGGTGTTGTAATCTTTGATTTTTTTACAATTGATATGTTATCGTATTGAATTGGTTTTTGAACATTTTTAGTTTGATGTGTAAGTTAAATACACATGAAAAGTAGAATTTGGAATAGCTTGAATTATTGTTTGAACAACGTTGTGCTCGAAATGTATTCACAAGTTGGGGTTAGTTCATTTTATGAAATCAAATTAGTATACATATATGCACTACTATCTATGAACGATTGAAGGTGGATGAGTGAGCTCACTCAACGAATAGTACATTTTTTCGCCCGGTTTAATAGCGAGGGCAAATATTTAAATACTGACGCAAACAATTCAAACAATTATACAAATATGTGAAAAATATATTTAATATGAAGGTGAATATATCTAATAGTATAAATCTATACATATAATAAAAGTGTAACTGATTGCTGTCTGTACATAGAAGATATTCGAGAAAACCTATTATTGGGGGGTCTTTATTAACGCAATATAACCCAAAAAATGACTTTTAGACTTTTTGTCTGTTTGTCTGTGCGTTTAAGCTTAGAAACAGCTTAAGCGATTTGAGTGCCGTTTTCACTAATGTATTGTAGTAAGCTTCACTTAACATTTAGTATATGTTTTATTTCAAGCGGTTCATAAATAAAAAGGTTATGTCGAACTCGAGGGAAGCAAAGGTGAGTCGCTAGTGTGTAAATATAATAATTAATAAAAAAAAAATCCTAGCAAAGAAATTTGAATTTCAGAAAGTTACAGTAATAGATAAATTCTTACCTACTACGTATATTTTAATTAGCGATATGTAATAAAATTAAAAAAAAAGTATTTTTGACCTGCATTCAAAACATTACATATATGTATTAACGAAAAAAGTATGATTGTAATAATTGCTTCAATAAATTATTTAATATCTTTTAATATTGTATTTATTTGTGTATTGGTTTAATTATCATATAATATAACTAGCGACTCACCCTCGCTTTGCTCGGATTCGTCCCTAGCTTGCTTCCCCATACAAATTTTCATCCCCTTAAGGGATGATACCGGGATAATAATATATAAATAATCGGATAAAAATATATAATATATAGATTTCCAGGATAAATATATCCTATGTCCTTTCCAGGGTCTTAAACTATCTTCTTACCAAATTTCATATAAATCGGTTTAGTAGATACAGAGATTACACCCTACAACGTCACAAACTCACAATTCACAAACTCAAAAACTTTACCTCTTTATAATATTAGTATAGATAGATAAAAGTTACTGTTCATACTCGTATAGAAATATGAATTAATGAAAATGCCTACACAGAAAATTTCAATTGATGTGGTTTGCCGTATGGCCTTGTCGCCTCGAGAATGACATATGCCTGCTTCTTTTTACTTAGAGTTTACAAAGTTACAAATCTAAGACAAGCAAGGGTACGCTATTAGTATTAAATAATTATTATTGATGTTCATGACTTGAGTAATATTACTGTGTGGGTGGTAATTTAGAATACATTAATATTGTAAGCAGGAGGTCGGAGAGTACCCCTCGCTTGC